TTATAAACCGTTTCAAAAATATTTTAGTTTTTCAATAATAAAATTTTCCAAATTTATTTTTTATCTAGCTTGTATACAGAGAGAGAGTGAGCAAGAGAGAGATCTCATCAACTGATTCATACCCTAAATTCCTGTAACTGTCAGAGCTGAGCCAGGCTAAAGCCAGAAACCAGGAACTCTTTCTGGGTATCCCACATGGTTGGCCTGGACCCAACTAATTGAGCCATCACCTGCTGCCTCCTAAGGTGCACATGATAAGAAGCTTGGAAGTGAGAGTGGAGCCAGAACTTGAATGCAGGCACTCTGATATAGGATGCAAGCATCCCAGTCTCAAGTGGCATCTTAACCACTGTGCAGAATGCCACCCTTATAAAACTTTCAATTTGATTAAATATAAAATACCACCATCATTTATTAATAAAGAAATGCACATGTAAAAACAATGGAATTTTTAAATAGCAAATCTATGAAAATTAATCAGCTAATAATTCATAGTGATCACATGACAATAATAGAATAAATATGAAATTCTTTCATTAAATGTTTAATTTATAGTATCTTATTAATAAAAATAGAATATTGCATGTTATTGAAAGATTACATGAATTACTTTGCATCTATAGATTATTAACAATTAGAAATAAGAATTTTGCATTTATTGACTTGAAGAAATTCTGTCATGTATTTGAATAAACGTGATAGGCATTCTTTTAATATTATGCTATTAATTACATAGTTGTAATATATATGTAGAATATATAGATTGTATGTAGTTTACTGTTATGCTAAGAGTAACTGTATTTGGAAACTAGAATTAAAGTCATGATTCCTTGTATACATTTCTGTACTTTTCAAATGATTGTGATTGTTTTAATAACCAGAAAACTACCCACATTTGTATGTACCTTTTTTGTTTGTTTGTTTGGCTCTCTTGTTGTACCATTGAGCAAAACACATGATCAGTGCTCAGCTTGGGTTTTCACTTGGTTTTGTTTGGACAGGTTTCATTTTTCAAATTTTTATTTGGACAGAATAAAAAAATACTGCAGGTCACTTTCAAGTTAAAATTCTTTGGCTTAACTAAAATGTATCCTATTTTTTTCCCTCTCTTCTTACAAACTGGCAACAGAAATATTTTGCTGACAAAAATATTTTTCTTTTAACTGAGCAAACATTTAATCACGTTCAAGAATTTTTACATAAAAAAATCAGATTTCCATATTGAGAAACCGAAAGTTTAGGCACCCTGTTCCTGCCTTTCAGGAACCTGGGGCCCTGTAATACACAGGGCAGGGCAGGTGATCTCTAGTTAACCATGGTCATTACCATTCCCTATTGCTTTTCCCCAATACCCAAGAAAGTGAGTTTGTCCCCATTTCAACCGCCTTTGAATTCTCCTTTTACTTCACTAGGAAAGTAATTCTTACACTGCTCAGCTTCACTCATTTGCATGCTCTGTATGTACTTGTGTTTCTTGATCTGCTCTTCTCAACCTGCTTCAATTTCAGGAATCAAGTTGAGAAAAGGATACATACATTAAACTTCACTTTGCCCTGACATGTTATAGTGAAATGTCCAAACCTGCTGGCTAAACTTGCTGTTTAACCTTTAACTTTAATGTCGTCCTTTGTAAACTCACACATAGTGCTAGAACTTCCTGACGTGGCATTGTCATTTTGAATCATTTTGATTTTTCCCTGTGAGTGTGTTTTTTCTTTATTAGTCAGTAGAACACAATTTTTGTTCCTGTCATGAGAGTATGTTTTGAAGTCTTCTTGGATAGGCCCTATGTTTGGTACCGTTTTCATTATCCATTCTAAGAAATTCAGCTAAGTTGTGTTATTAATATGGTTTTCCTCCTTCTTAAGAAGCGGATATTTAGAAACCTATTTGTATGTGAACCGTGTTAAAAGACAGAATAAAATGAAAAGGCATATATTAAATTATTTCAATCTCTTTAATAAAATTCTGCTATATTTTCCCCAATAAATGCTAAAAGAATACTGGGGCATCTCAGAATGTTAAAGTCACATGTGTCCATTAAGCCTTCTCATTTAATTGAGGTTTAAAACCATGCAGTAATTGTAAATTTTAAGAGCCTGGAAAGGATTTTTTTTAACAATTAACCATGCATCTTATTTTAAGGGAAAAACCATTAAATGCTTTTTTATGACTTTCTACTTTGCTTTTTTGTTTTAATTTTACTCTCCAATGGGCCACATCCCACAATCAGTGCTAGGAGGGGAAGAGGAATGAGGATTAAAAGGAAAGGATTAGAGGGAGGCATAAGGAGAAAGGGAGGATGAGTGATGTGTTTCCCTTGAATATTTTATTTTCTTAATTGAAAAAAAATGCTTAGGGCTCAGGGACAACAGCCGCTAAATCACTTTTTTTATATGTACGAAGCAGACCATTGAACCTGTGTATTTATTCCTAAACATGTTTACCCTGCTATGGGGGAAGATAACCAGAAACATCTTTTTCTTTATTCTAATGAATCTCAACACAAAGGGAACTATATAGGACACCAGACTCAGTGAGGCCTTGTTAGAAACCAGGACAAAAATAGAGAACTTATTTATTTATTTGTTTTTGTAGGAATGGATGTACTAAATATGTAAAGAGAGTTCTAGGATTTACAAAATCATCAACAGGTAATTTGCTTATAGGAAATAAGGTATAGGTCCACTCTGATTTTTTTTCCTTCTTTTCTCTCTCCTCCCTCCCTTTCTCTCCCTCTCTCTCTCTCTTTCTTCACCTCTTCTCCTCCCCTCCCTCCCTTCCTCCCTCTTTCTCTCCCATTCCCTCTCTCCACCTTTCTGTCTCTTTCCCCTTTTGTGTCAGGCTCTGTAACATAGCCCAGCAAGAAAATTTTCTCTTTCTGGGAAAAGTCTCGGTTTGCCTAACAGATTTATTAGGACAATTGGGTGTCAGGGTCATGATCACAACCATTAGTCGAATGGTTATGCAAAAGCAAAAGAAAAGCTCACATATTATCTTATATTTTCCCATTCTTAGAGCTTTACATATCTTGTATTTACATTCTTATATCTTGAATTTCCAGTGAGGATTTTTAGCCTCTGGGTTTTATATTTAGATATCTTGAAGATACTTGAAATGCATAGCTTGATAGATACATGTGTGTACATAACTTGACTTTTCCTGAAGGGCTCTTTACCTCCTTGGCTTTTAAAACGTTTTTACTACCTAGTCGAACAAATGTAATAATGTACTCCAGCTTACTCAAATTCTTGTCATTGCTAACACTTGTCTAAAAAAATGATGATTCCTAATTTATTAGCTCCAGTTCTTAAAAAAACATAAATTATCCATCCTTTCCATACAAAGAGAATTTTGAAAGGAATGATAGGATCCATTTTTTAAATACTTAAAAATTAAAGGACTTTTTTTTTCCTTTCTTTTTTAGTAACTCTCCCCAAAAAGCATGTCATGAGGTACATTGTACTAGAATTATTCTTTACATTTGGATGAAAATCTATGTATTGTCTTTAGAGGTGAGTGAGATATTTAAAGACTGATTCCATTAATAAGGAAAACAAGTAGGCTTTAAGGACTGGTTTTACCTTTGTTATCTTAATTGAATTTCAAAAGAAGCCTCCTTTTGAAATATCAGTCTACTTTTAACTTGAAAAACACACATCAATTAATTAGCCTTGACACTGCAAAGCATTTAAGGACATGAATCTTGTCATATTCAGGTCATTTCAGTTGAGAGACTCTTTGTGACAGCTAGATAATTTGTACAAATGGCTGTATGTGTTCAATAAATTTAGGCCATTATATTTGTTATAAAACTAAGAACTAAACCAGCAAAGCCCATACACTCATGTAGCTTAATGTTTTCCTTGTAGGGTCACAAAATAAAAACAAAAACAATGCAGATTTTGATAACTGCCACAAAGGAAATAAATATGGGGTTGTGATTGCGAATGGATGGGGAGAATATTTATATCCGAGGTAATAAAATGTAAGCTAAATGGAGATGTGAATGGTAAGGAAAAGCAGATGTAGAAGTTTTCCTTACAGAGGTATGGAAGGTACAAATGTCCTAAATTGGAAAAATGTTAGAATATTTTAAGAGTTGATAGAAGGCTCCTGTGGCTTAAACCAAGTGGCAGACAGTATGTGAAATTATAGATCAGCTTGGAGAGAAGCTCCCAGTAGCAGATTTTGTCCACTTTTAAACTATGGTGAATTTTTAGTGGGATAAAAATGGTAAAATCCCCACTGTTATATCTAGTTAGAGCCATTATTTTCTGTGGTAACAAAATAATCTGATAAGGTTCCAGACACAACTCCAGGTTTTTGAAAAGTCAGTCAGCTTGGCAACAGCCAATCATGCTACTAGATTTTCAGGCTATCAATAAAAAATCACCTTCACGTGGAAGAACAAGGCAGACATGCCACTAAATACACTTAGCTGAAATAGAAGTATGATGGTGTTTACCCACCTTACTTCAGTGTATCAATCAATTTTACCTTTTGACTACTTTCAAAATGCTTTAATAGGAGGTTTTTGAAAAACATGTAAACAGCTGGAGCATAATCTAACAGTGGTTTTCTACTATCTCCATAAAAAAAACCCACAAATGTTCTGCCATAAATTATTTATGAGATACATGCCACATAAATCCTGAAAACACTCAGAACCACTGGTTTCATATACTCATAACGCTGCTTCTTTCACTTATTCCTTTCTCTGTATTTTGAATTCCTGTGTCTGATTTTAAGACCTTGTATTGTATTGCTTACATTTTTTTTTTCATTGAATAATGAGTATAATTTATTAACATCCTTTCTGACAGTATAGTTTTATATCTTTATGTAGAGCTGTTTTTGATATCTTGGACTTACTAGGAAGCTCTTATAATATCATCCATCCCTGGAGTTTAATTCTTTGTGTATTCCAGATGTTATAAAAAATTAAATGTATTTTTAGTAATTTATTACTTAACATAAACACAATTATTGCTGACATTTTCTCCAAATATGTCATGGTAATTTTAGATTGAAAGCATGTGGGTATATGTGTGCTGAATTAAATCTATTATTTATAACAGGCATTTGGAGATAAAAGCCTACACGTTCTACATGACAATGAGAACATCCAAGTAAATAGATTGCATTTTCTTTATCTTAGATCTATAAAAGTAGGATTAAATTGTATTAAATATATGATAGTTGGAGATGATATAGTTGTGATATTTTTAAATCTCTTTGATATGATGGCTTGGCATTAAGGATTTTTCCTCTTCATCTGTAGAAAAAAAGAAATGCAACATTTCACTAAATGACACAAATATTTGCTAAGGTTGCATTAAAGCACATATTCACTTATTTCAGCAGGTAAAGCCAATGCCTGCAGTGCTGGCATCCCTTATAGGCACCAGTTCGAGTCCTGGATTGCTCCACTTCCAATCCAGCTCTCTGCTATGGCCTGGGAAAACAGTGGAAGTTGGCCCAATGCCTGGGCCCCTGCACCCACATGGGAGATCTGGAAGAAGCTCTTGGCTTCTGGCTTTGGATTGGCGCAGCTTCAGCTTTTGTAGCCATCTGGGGAGTGAACCAGCAGATGGAAGACCTCACTCTCCCTCTCTGCCTCTGGCTCTCTGTAACTCTGCCTTTCAAATAAATAAATAAATATTTAAAAAAAAAACCTTTTATGTACTAAAGCTATTAACTGTTTTATACATGTTGCAAATATTTTTTCCATTTTTCATGTATATTAGTATAAATGCATTTTAAATTTTGTCAGAATAAAATCTGTCTTTTCTTTTTAGGCTTTCTAGCTCTTATAAAACAGTAAAAGAGTTCCTCAGAAGTCATGACTACATTTATAAAATATGAGTTCCTTTAAAAACCTGTTTGGCTAAACATTTGGACATGTTATAGATTATACAGCTATGTGCAGATGTACAAAAAGAAAAGCTGAAATTTTTCCACTACATGGTTTTATTCAACTGAAGGCATATAACTTACAAGAAATCAAAATGCTGCTTCAAAGTGTGTAACTCAAAAATGAATTTCCATAGATTTGGAATGAATAACTGCATGAATAAGAAGTGCATAAAGCTCTGTTTGCTCTTGCACCAACATTCAGATGAGACACTCAGTTAACTTGTGCCAAGTGTGGCATAGTAATAAAGTCAATTTGTTCATTTTTTCATGTCATTTATGGCATTTTTCATCTATTAAAATTGTGAAGATTTACATATTTCCCTTTTCATAGTATAGTGCATCACCTAGCCAAAATTGCATAAATGAAATATATATATGCATACACACAATGTTGTATGCTATTACAGTCATCCATTTTTTAACATTTAAGAAATTAGCACACAGATGATCACAATCCTCAATTCATTTAAAATACAAAATAAATCAAAGTTACATTTTCAGAGTAAATTTCATGGTTCTAAATATGGAAAGTTGTGGGGAAAAAAAACTTGAAAGTTACATATTACATATTCTTTCCTTAAGAAGAGAGTGATTTCCACGGGCACAGAAGGGGACAAGATGTAAACCATATATTCTACTTGTTTTCTTTTTCATCTAACGTTCCACGAGGAGTACAGGGACAAATATTAATACACTAAATTATTAATCTAAAATTTAGGAGGTAGATTGCAAATTTTAACAGTTCTATGGGATCACGCTTAGAACATTAAACAGAACATTTGTATTACTCTTTCTAATAATTAATACTTATGTTAATTTCTCTCCTGATTGAACAAATCTAACAATCTTATAACTTTTAAAAATCTTTCTTTTTTGGTTGAAATATTGGCCTTTTGTTTCAAATTATCGAGGGAATTCGGATCAATCTTCATAACAAGTTTTTTTCTTTTCAATCCCTCTTTGTGTGTAGTGCTTAACTTACTTTTTCTGTCTCCTCCTGTGCATTTTAAAAAATGGAAAACCCATATTCCCAAACTGAAATATTTGTTCTCTTTAGTAAGACTCTTTCTGGCTTCAGGGAGAATAAATTTACAGAGACATCATGGGACTTTGGGACTCCAACGATTCAAATTTGTACCTTGAGTATCTATTCTTGACTTTTCCTTCTTTTTGAATAAACATCCCCTAAAGAGAAGCCTGGCTTTGTGACTTACTTTACTGAATAAATTATGCAGTGCTTGTGTCTGCAACTCATGTGAGTGATGCGAAATAAAGCAGACATAGCTGTTGGACATCATTTTCGCCCCTCTATCTGATTGGCAGATCACAGGAAGGAAAAAATGTCCCATGAGCCCCTCTGTGAGGTCCTTACCAACTGATTGAGTATTCGCCTTAAATATCTGAAACCCAGGTGTGTTGTAGATTAGCACAACTTACAAGCACTGTGTGGAGATTTATTATGATAATTGTTGCTTTTATTTTTTATTTCCCTGAACTCAAAGATAATTAATGTCAGTATGTGTCCTGGTATCTGACTCTCTTAATTGGTCCTATGGTGCCTTGGGTGTTTGAAAATCCACTCACTTAAAGGCTTTTTTTTTTCTTTTGACTTGTTTTCCTGGAGCTGTTCATTAGTGCCTAAAATATTTGATTACATTTAATTGTGATGTCTTCAATTTTGTGCACCTGCTGTAATTTACATGAGGGGAAAGAGGCTTGCAGAAGCAGGAAAAAAAAAGTGAGGGGGAATTAAATTTTAAAAGAATTCCCGTGCATAAGGTAATTGGGGTTAAATATGGAAACAAAATAAACTTAATAGGTAGTTAGATTTTTGTAACTACTATGGTCATACAAAAAAAGTTCAAAATCAAAACTGTTCTATCCTACAAACCCTTAGCAAATATTTTCACAATTCTTACCAGAGTTTTTCAATTTCTGAGAAACAGCCATGTTTACTTTAAATTTACCATTTTGTCTTAAAGAACACACTTGGAGACAGGAAGAAAATACTGAGTCAGAAATTCATTTGGAGGGTTTGTTGTTGTTTCTTATGCATGTTTAATCGAATATATCATTGTTTTTTATTCAACAAATATTGTAGCATTGAATTACCAACCTCACAAGCTGTTCTATTTTATTATGATGGCTGAAGTAGCCAAAAGTTTCCTTGAAGAGTGTGGGACTTCTCTGTGAGTATGACAAAGTTACATAAAGGAATGATCCTACACCAAAGAATTACCACCTTCAAAGAATGATATTGACCCGAATATCAGTCTCACTGACCATACCATAACTCAGAGGAGACAGAGAATCAACAGGGTATCTGCTGAATTCTCATAGAAGAAACAAATCATTCTTGTATTTCTTTAGTAAAACCATCAGTTTTATTTTTACCTTAAAAGAACTGTGAAATCTCTAAATCTGCCTCAAACCCAAGAAGTAATTAAACCCAGTTTTATGGCAGTGATACAATGAAATGTCTATATTAAATATGTTGAAAAAATTTTCCTGACTCACCATAGACATAATTAATTGAACATTCTAAAAATTAAGAAACAAGCCGGCATTGTGGTCCAGATGCTGCCTTGCACTGCCAGCATCATGTATGGGCACTGGTTTGAGTCCCAGTAGCTCCATTTCCATTCAAGGTTCCTGCTAATGCACCTGGGAAAGTAGCAAAAGATGGTCCAAGTACATGGGCCCTTGCCACTCACATGGGAGACTCAGATGAATCTCCAGACTTCGGCTTGTTCCAGCACCCACCATGGCAGCGATTTGAGTAGTGAACCAGCAGATGGAAGATCTCTTTCCCTCTCTGTAACTCTGCCATGAAATTGATTAAATGCATTTTTTAATAAAAATGATTAATAAAGTGGAGAGTAAGAAACTCCTGGCTCCTGGCTCCTGGCTTTGGATCGGAGCAGCACCGGCTGTAGCAGCCATTTGGGGGGTGAACCAACAGAAGGAAGACCTTTCTCTCTGTCTCTTATTCTCACTGTCTATAACTCTACCTGTCAAATAAAAAAAAAAAGTCATGGTTAAAGGTGAGACAAAGGAATACGATGTTTTGACCTGCTATATGGTTATTGCCCACTCATACACCCAAAGACTGCAAACGGCCTCTGCCTGCTCCTCTTCTACATTCTCTGCCTTTCTCATGCACTGGACATTGAGTTCCCAGAAGATGACGTGCTTGTTTTCATTCAAATCTTCCTGCATCACCTTCCTGGGCTCAGCTCCAATCACCTCCCAGGGAAAGTCACGTTCTCTAAAAGTCACCCAGCTTCAACTCCTTTGTTCTATGTCCAGAATGACACAACTTTATTTCACTACATGTTCTTGGTTTGCACTTACACACTTATCATTACTCTCTTTCCTACTAGATAAGGAATTCTTTAAAAGAATGGCCTTCCCCAGAGAGTCAAATGAATGAAGCTGTGAACATATCAGAGGTCCTCAAAAAGTTCATAAAAAATGCATAATGAAAAAAAATAGGCCTGGATTTTGAATTTTTATGCACCAAAATGAACTTTTTTAAGAAAATATTCATTTTTCTAGGAACTCTTTGAAGTACTTTTGTATTTATAGGAGCATATATTTTTATCACCTCTGGCCCAGGTAATCTCCATCATCTAAAATATATGCAAAAATAGACTGCTTAACTTAGGGTGACTTAACCTGTAACACACACACACACACAGTCTTATCAACTTTATATGGTTTGTATATGCCTACAAGCAAACCTAGTGATATTTATATTGGCAATCAAAATCTACATTAAGCACAGTTATACTAAATATATAAAATTGTGCAGTGATGAAAGAAACACTCAGGCACAGATATGTCTCTGCACACCTGCTTCAACATAGTGATGAAAAGTCATTTTAGTTGAAATACACACTTACAAAGAGCAGTTAGTGGCCCATAACCAGAGGATTATAAGTAAATTTTATAAACAGGAACTTTGGTGATTCAAAAATAAAGGCTAGAGGCTTTGAGGCCATTTTATTGAGCCACGGAGGTGGGGGCAATTACTCTTGGCTGTGGCTGTTGACATTCCCAATAGTCTCTTAGTTTTAGGAGGTCCAGGTTCAGGTTCTCTCTTGCTCATCACAGAGCTCAATACATATTAGATCCTTATCAATGTCTGTTGCTATCTCAGCCCTCTACCATTTCTCCCAAAGATATGCCTGAGAGTGCACTTTTTGGACATGAAGTCACACAGCAAACACAGGCTAAAGGAAAATTGTCCCTGGGCTAGATAAGACAGTGACAGATGTCACATACTGTTTTAGAGATGAAAGTAGGTGACAGATCAGCTCCTAGATTTTGTTCTTGTGTTCTATTAACCATTCTTAT